GGGTTATCTCAGTAGAGGACAGAGCTGAGGAGGGGCAAATCATCCTGCATTACTTGAGCCTTAAGGGTTGAGTACAAAACCCTGGCTTGGGGCTGCTGCCCACGCATCCTCTGTTCAGTAAAGATGTCTCTTTGTAGCATTATAAACTGGTTTCACACCGACTAAATTTAGAAAATGCAACGGAACATTCACAAACTCAGAAATTGTATGTACCTGACAGTGAAGGATCCCTTAGGATTCAGATCTGAACTGTGTGTTATATTGCTTTCCATTCTCTTTTTTATTATTTTTGGAACTTGGTTACTTTTGGATCCTCATTTCTGGGAAGACGTAGGCACCTCACAGTGCCAAGAAGTAAACCTGGATCCACTCAGGAGCTGGTGTTTCGTTCTCAGGGTTGCTCTAGCCAGGGAAGGGGGCTGCTCTTTCTCAGTTTTACGAAGGTGGAGGTATGGATTTGACTTATGAACCAATTTTGAATTTACTTTGAAAGAACTCACTAGATATTAATAAAATCTTAAAATAGTTCAGGCTGTGCCTTAAAACAGCCCTGACTGTAATACAGAAAAAATTAAGATTGCAGCTCATCATGGTGGAGGCAGTGGAGATAAAACCAGGAAAGCGGGAGGCTAAAGGCAATGGACATGGCAGTTAGGAAGCTCTGCAAGGAATTGAGAAGTTCAACTGAAGAGCTGGAGAATAAACTCACATTAGGAAATCCTAGGTGAGGATGGGGGGTCCCTGAAGTCTGCAATTGCTGGAGGAACGAGCAGAGCTTTGATGTCGGTATGTAAATCTGAATCTAATTTACAAGGGCCAAGAATATTGTTTTAAATGTATTAATGCCTGATCTTTATCATCAATGCTGTTGTGAAGCCAAAAACTACCCAGGTTTGTTTTTCTGTGTCTCTGGTAGTAGTGCAAGTCAGGAATAATCTCAGTCAGAGGAAGGGCGGGAGGAGAAAGCGAGCTGGGAATTAGGTCTCAGGAATACACTCTGCCATGTCTCCTGGAGGAGTGGTGTTAACCCGCGCCCTTCCCTGCCACGCTGGGCAGAGATGCTCTGGTCCCACAGAAAGTTTTCTTGGATCCCTGTATTTCATTTAAAGTTAACGGCGTCATTATGGAAGGGGGAACTTCAACTCTTTGCTGAAGCAGCTTTTAAATGTTGCCTTCTTCCAGCTCTGAAGTTCGCAGCCTTGCCGTGCCAGGCTGAGCTTTGCCTGGAGTGATGCAGGGCTGGCTTTTCCATCACCATCCAGCGGCTGGGAGTAGGCTGGTGGAAACATCTCCTGTTTTAGGGGTACACATGCTCCGATGGGCTCACTAACTCATTCAGGGCTGTTCATGGGGAAAAAGTGGATCGAGAGGGCGCTGTCGTGTTTGTTGCATTAATGTCATGATTCATACATAAAAGGGTTTTAGACTAAAAGATGATAAGATTAATAACCAACAGCCTAATGCTATTAATTAGCAATGCTTTTGAGTCAGTCAAGTTGCTGCTACGCTTGTTTTCCAAAACACTGAGCCATTTAATTCTCATTAAGATGAGGAATAAGTTGAAAAAAATACAGCTCAGTCATCCCACCAGCAGCATCCAGTGTGACCTGGGCTGCAGTTCGACCTTGTAGTTGCGTGCTGGGCTTTCCTCAGCAAAACCACAAATGCTGCTGAACGCTTTGGTATTTCTGTAACATGAATAAACTCAGCCAGGTGGGCGCTTTATCCCTCTGCAGCATGTGGCTACTATTTTAGCATTTTCTCCAGATAACACTGATAATAACGTGGTGCTGCGGGAGTGCGTTGTCCCCAAGGCCAGGGGCCCCCACGCGTGGCCATCAATGGCTCTGTGGGCCGAGCCAGTGCCCCCCTTTTCCATGAAGGGGGACAGTGTGAGATTTCCAAGGGTTCAAGGCCAAGGGCAAAGCCAAGCGCCATGGCAGTGATGCCCACTCTTGTAAGCTGGTCTACAAAAGGAGACTTTAGTACCAAAAAGTGGAAGGGGAGGCTATGGCGTTTCCATAGTCAGTTCTGTCAAGTTGAAACTGGTTTTCCATGGAGACTTCTGGAGGACAGAGGGAGGAAGGTTACAAAAGCCAGCACAAAGTTTGATCAGTTTTGAAGAGGGCAGTGAAAAGCAACCACAGCTTTTACCTTGAGTTACGGAATAGTTCAGCTCTATATAATCAGCCATGTTTAGTGTCGCTCTCTTTTTTTGGGGACGTGAAGTGCAAAGCTGAGATGCCTGACTAGTGTCCTGCCTTCCTCTGGCTGCTCGCGGCCAGAGGATAACTCTGCTGCCTGGGCAAGAGAGAGTGTTTTCCTGCCCCGTGCTGGACCTCTGCTCGCGCTGTCACACCGAGACGGGTGAAATCATCTCCTCAGGATGAGGCTCAATCTCGCCGCGACCTGGTACGCAGCGCCGATACCGAGTCATCTGGCCCCGTGCTGCGGAGACGCTGTCGGGGCTGCCAGTTTGGATGGAGCTGGGCTTTATTTCATAGGTTAAAAATACATATATTTCCTTGATGCGCTGTTGGTTTATTTTTAACTCTTAAGCAATTTAATATTTTGTAGGTCTGCTAGTATTTCCCTCAGTTTTCCATCTGCTACTGTGATTAAGTTCTAGCTTTATAATGCAACCCGGAGCAAACGGAATGGAAACCTTACCTATATTATTTGGCACATAACAGTAGACATGAATAACTTTGGAATTTGTGGGGAAAAAGAGAAGTTATGTGCTTTTGGAGCCAAAATATGATTGGAAACGGGCCCTTGCAGACAGCACGATGCCGAGTAGGATCTAGCTGCGGTTACTTTAGAGTGCAGTGCTCCAGGTTGCGTTTGTAGGTGTTTCTGAGGAGTCGGAAACATCACTGGGAGGCTGTAAAGCAGTGGTGCGCACCAATTTCCTATTGCCTCGCCGACATCGAGGCAGAATGATGTGCCAGAGGTTTGCTGCTGCTTTTTTTTTTTTTTTCTCTTCAGTCCTAGAAGTGGTGTGATGTAATGGAAATTTGCACTATGGTGAGGGAGATGGGACTCATTTCCTAAGGCTGTGAATCTGTGGGTGGAAGGAGTGGAGTGGCCATTGTGCCACTGTGCAGTTTGTCAGATTTATGGCACTGACTTAAAAATATTTTTAGTCTAGATCACGTTCAGTATGAGCCATGCAGGCGTGTGTGCCGGGCCAGCCGGGGATGGGGATGGGGAGCAGTGGGTTACAAGACAGCAGAGCTGCTTCAGCTGCTGTTGCCACTACAAGAAACGATGTTTTCTGGCCTAAAAGGGGATCTAGATTGAAGGTGGGTATCCATTGTGAAGGTGCAGCTCTTCCTGGGCTGGTGGAGGTCTGCTCTGCTGGCAAAGGGCCCCCGGCTGCATAAGTGCTGATGGTGACACGGGATGGTGAAGGATAACCTGGCTGGGAACAGAGAGAGAGCGTGGGGCCATCCCTTCTGGCAACAGCAGGGATTTAGATTGTATCAGGAGAGGAATAGTTATGACATCAGAGGCCTTCAGAGTATGAACTCTAATAGGGTAAAGATGGAAAGAGAAATCACAGGTCATAGACCTGTAGTTAACTGAAAAACGCTGGTATGTGTGAAGCCGGTAGTCATAAAAGCTGGAAGTGGCAGGAGACGTTTGTGAGTCATTTCACTGATCCACAGAGAACAAGAAATCCAGACTCCTAATTCATCTGGTTAGTTATGACTAGAGTCAAAACTATTGCAACCCGTAAGGTCAAGCCACGCCAATTCAGTAGCCTTCTTTGCCATAGTTACTGATGCAACAACTAAAGGTTGTGCAATTAGATACAGCACAGGCGGATTTCAGAAAGCCAGTTGGTGTAGTGCCCTGTATAAAGAAAACTTATTCCTTCCCATTTAAGTAAAAATACCATGGTTAAGAGACTAGTTTTCCAGCAGGGAATGTTGTTAACACTAAGACCAACTGAAGAGCAGCATTAGTCCAGGTTTTAGAGGAGGTATGATCTACACCTGTGTTGTTTTGTATGAAGAAACAAGGGTCATTGGTGCGGCTGTTTGATGGGGTCAGGCGTGCTGGGGCACCGGCCTGGAGGTGGAGGGACAGGGACAGGGAGCTCTGGGGGATCAGGAGATCCAATTCAGCAGATGTCTCGTAGATGGGGAGAAGGGAACAAACCCCCACGACAAGCAGAGAGCCTCAGGTTGTGAGTGAGAACCTCCTGTGACGTTTTCCAGTAAATGAGTGCAATCGGATCCAGTTGCTGAGAAAAGACATTGAAACTGCTTTGTGTATAAAATGTAAAAGTTAATGTCAAACTGACTCTGCCAGTGTGAAAAGCCCTGGGCCAAGTGCATTCCCTCCCCATCCGAGTGCATTCCCTCCTGCCACCTGAGTGGTGAGGCCAGAGAGGCAGCAGGCAGCAGAAATAGTTTCCTTCCAGAAGAGATGGAGGAAGGGGTTAGAGGGGCTGCTGGTGTGGCCTGCTGTGGTTTGTCTCAGCCCAGGGTCCTCTCCATAGCATCGTAATGGACTCGTACACAAGCAGGTTTCAAAAACGTTTAAATCTCTTACTGAGAAGTGAGTAGGTGCAAATCACCCGCTGCTTACACACGGGGATTTGGACCTGGTCGCACATGATGTGTTCATCAATAACTCTACCTGTCGGACCAAGGTATCTGAAGTGAGGTGCAGTAATTGTTGAAAAACATGATTGTGTGCAGCAAAACGGCGCAGAGCGAAGGAGTTCACATTTCAGAATGAGATCAGATTTAATTCATTTTGAAGTGAGATCACTGGAACCTGCTGCCTGGGTCTTGTTTTCCCTGTTTCAGGCTTTCATCCATGCTGAACTCTTGCCATGACTGAATTCTGCAAAGGTTTCCAGGCAGGTTTCTTGTCCGAGCGCCAGCCTGGTTGGCTAAGCTGATTAGCTGTAAGAAGATCAGAGTTTGACAAAGGGGTGTAGGTAAACAGTGAAGCTTTTCCTACAGCTGAGATTTAGAGCAGCTATGAAATATGTTTGCATCCTCAGAGGTAAGGAATGGTGCTTGAAGAAGCCCCAGGAAAAATACCAAGAATCGCATTAAAATGGTGAGTAGAACTGATAAGGTACATGATGAGACTGAGAGGAGAATCAAGTGCAGATATGATCGCAGCCTATAAATACTGTCAACATGACAGCACAGATGAGCTAAGGGAAGAGTATTTGTTATCTGATGGAACACAAGCTTTAGGAAGAGCAGTCATCACAGCAGCAGGGCGGTGAGGGGATCCCCAGGAGCGGGTGACGCTCCCCAGCTGGGATGGAGGGAGATAACGTGTTGTGGGCTGATAGCAAATACGTCTGCAACAGGCAGACGGTGGGATCGGCTGGAGACCCGCGCTGGCCTCGCCTCCCTCGGTGGGCCTGTGTGGACCAGGAGGTGTGAGCCCTGGGGTCCACACTGTTCCTGGTAAGGAGACGTGTTAGCTGTCACACCAAAGATGTGAAAGACGGTGTTTGGGGTGTGAGCCACGGTTCCTACCTGTGCTCCTCCCATGCTTTCAGGGAGGCAGAGCGTGGTGGTGCCAGGGAAGGTGGTGGCTGCATCGTGCCAGGGCTCCCGGGGGCGCCCTCGGGTGAGGGGGACCCCTGCGCTGAGCCTCAGGCGTGGCGGGCCCGGGGAAGGCAGATGGCAGCAGCAGCACCCACTCCTCCACCCTTCCTCCTCGCAGCTATCACTGCCCCTGGGCAGGGACGCCCCATCCGCTCCTGCCTCACACCTGAGCCCTCCTGGTGTCCAGCCTGGGCTGCACGAGTAAACCCAGGGAGAGGGAGATGTGAAAGTGCTGTCTGTGAGGGAGCTGAGTCAGGAGCAGCCCCGGCCCTGTGGCTGCCTCCCCCCAGGGCTGAGCTGGGCTTAGCTGGTCTGGGAGTCAGCCTGGACTGTGCGTTAGCAAGGCAGCCAAGGCACAAAAGCCCTGGGGAGGTGGAGGGAAAGGTACTCCCGCATCCTACCCAAGGGCTGCAATACAAGTGGGGAAAGCCTTGTCTTTGCAGTGAGGATGTAGGGCTCAGCCACCCAGGAATTGTTGGAGAGCTTTGCCGTGGATGCCAGCCACTGGCAGTTAACCTCTCAGCTCTCCTTCAACACCTGTCACCCCCCAGAGCTCGTCGTGGTGCCTGCTGGTGCAGTCAGTGCTGGAGTCACCATCCCCACAGCTCAGGGATTGCCCTTGGCACCTGTGGTCCCTGTTTGGGGACTCGAATTTTGATTTTATAGTGTGCCATACAGGGTGAGCAGACGGGTGTCAGCGGGCTGGGCTGATGGTAACAGATGCTCTTGTTGGGGTTGGGCAGTTTGGGCTGTCCGCGTCCCTCCTCTTCGTTACCTGGGACAGAGTTTGGGTGAGGAAATGGAGGAGGTCTGGGCCCTGGGCTGTGTGAGTCTGGCTGTAGCAGACAGTGTTTCTGAGGATCCCCAGGACAACCTGCTTTTCGTAAAGCTGTAAAACGACCTACTGCACAGGTTGTGAAGATGTGTGCTTCTAGAGCAGGGTGTTTCAGTACCTAAACGCTGATTTATTGATTTCTTCTTCTTCACTGAAGTTTTGTTTAACAACCTTCAGTTCTGGTCTCTTTTTGTGCCTCCGCAGCCTTTTTTAAAATGAAAGGTGGAAGGGCTGTGCCTGCTGGTGCTGGAGTGTGCGCAGCACTGGCCTGACCCGCCTGCGCTGTGCTGTGCTTCGCTCCCCTCCCAGCAGCGGGCTGGCACAGCCTGCCAGAGCTTTGTGGTCCTGAAGGGTTGGCTGGGGATAACTTGGCTGGGCTGGGAATTTGAGAGTTGGAGTTGGAGAGGTGCTGGACACCAAGAGGTGCTGGAGTTGGAGAGGTGCTGGAGACGGGGAGGTGCTGGACTCCAAGAGGTGCTTAGCAGGTTTTTCGTTCAGCCACTTCGCCTTGCTGCGTGCGAACTGCTGGGTTGATAGGGAGACTCTCCAGACTTGGTGTTTGCGAAGCTCTCGAGGCGTTCCCGGGTTCTCAGTTACGCTGTGCATTTAGAGACGTTTAGAAAAACTGCCTTGGGAGAGCAAATGGCCAGCCTGCGCCGCCCTACCCCAGGCAACTGCCCATGGAAAGATAGCTCAGCTGACATCAAAGGAGCCACCAAACGATAGGCATCGTCTAATTGCTGCCTCTCCCCTGCCTTCTGACTCCGTCCTGCAGGTCGGCGGGATCCTTATCTTTGCCTGTGCGAGTCGCACAGCGTCCCGAGGGGCAGCAGCAGTCCTGCCTCCTGCATCACTGTTATCTACACGAGGTTGCGTGCGGTGATTTTTAGAAGCCCGAATGGCATCCTACTGTTGAAATGAAATGAAATGGCATTTCAGGATATTGGGGAGAGAATTGACCTTCTGCAGTCCCCAGCCTGCAGATGGAGGATGTGTTTCCCTCAGGGGTGTGCTCCGGCGGGGGCAGATGGAGGGAGGAGGGATGTGGTGACCGCAGGGACCCGTCTAGGGGGGAAGGTGGTTCCTGTGCCGTGGCGGTGTGGGGAAGCCCCATCCTCTCCTCTGCACAGAGGTGGCTGGTCCTGACCTCCAGTCGCTCACCTCCTGCATCCCAGGCACCCAGCCCTGCCCTTTGGTGCTTTGTGACTCATGGGCGCTTTTTGGGGCAAAGATGACATTTAGAGGAAATGTTTCTGAATAACCCTGTCAACTGGAATTCACATAAAACAATTAAAGCGACCGCAGCCACGTTGCCTTGGTTTGCTCATGTCTGACTCCACTGGAGCCTGAGCCCTCTGTGGTCCCTCACGTTTACTTTCTCTTTCTCCACAGAATGCGATGAACTTGCCGCCCGACAAAGCCCGGCTGCTGCGGCAGTACGACAACGAGAAGAAGTGGGAGCTCATCTGTGACCAGGTAAGGCGGCCGGCGGGGGGGCTTTTGTCAGACATCCCCTTGAGAGCACCGCCTGGCTTTCATCAGCACTCTCCCTGGGCTTCAAAAGGGACTTTGCACAGGACAAGTATTTGAGTAGTTCAGACACTCATTTCTTTGGCATTATGCTCCGTTAGTGGTAACAACTCACTGAAGCCTTGCAATAATAATCCCCTTTTTTGCCACAGAGGGATATTTCCTTCCCCTCTTACCATCACCCCTGGGCTCGTTTCCTCTGGGAGGTTGAACGCTGCTTATTTTGCCTGGCACGGCCTCGAAGAGCCAGACCTTCAGTCACCTCTCAGTGAGCGCTTTGAGTTGGTCTGCCTTGACCTCTGTAACACCAACGAACGGTCTCGATCCAGGGGGCATTTGGCTTTCTGCATCACGAGCCATTGGCGCAGTCGGTGGGAGCTGTTGCCTTCGGGGGGAGGCGCCTGGGGATGCAGCCTGGCCCCCCCCTTGGCCTCCAGAGGCTGAGCAGCAACCTCGGATTAAGCAGCACCATATGCTGGGGCATCTTTGGTGTGCGCGCTCTGCTGGGACGTGCAGACTTGGCAGCAATATGGAACAATTAACAGGTTGGCTCTGCCATGGCAAATGAACAGAAATGGCATTATTTAGAGAAAGTGAAGGCTGCAGAAGGTAGGATGTGCATTTGTGAGCCAACAGCAAAATCTGGTTCTGCCAGAAACTTCAAAAGTAATCGCTAATGAAAAAAATTGATCCAGAAAGTAGGATATTTCCTTGGAATGGGAATGCAGCAGTACCAGGATGAGAGTTTGGCAGAAGGTACAGTCATGCTGTCAGGTCAGGAACATTTTAATAAATAAGTTTCTGGGATGTTTCTTGCTTAGCTATTACAGTGGTGGAGCCTCTGATAAAATCGCTACCTTTGAGTAAAGCTGAATAAAGAATTACTTACTTTTTTTTCCATGAGTTTTCTGTGCAGAGAATGTAAAGCATTGAGCTATTTAAAGTTTTGGTTTAGTGAGACACTGAACAAATTGCTTAATCTGCTGTGAGTGATTTGTTTCATGGATGTTTGCCTAGAGCGTGCACCCTCCGAGCGTGCACGTATGAGTGTGAGCTTCGCGCCGGAGCCTGCGCGTTGTCTTTGCGTGGAGTTGGCAGAGGGGCAGGCAGGAGCAGTTAGATCATCGCCTCGATGTGCAAACTCCCACCTCGGAGCTGATCCACCCTCTGCAACGTGCAGCTGCTGATGATTCACTCCTCAACTTTACAGCAAGAGAAGGAGGGGTGAGCAGATGGAAACGCGGCAAGGAAATTTGCAATCTGGAGTAATCACGGATCTTAACAGCTCTTTGCACGACACGTGCGTCCCCTCCTCCCCGGGTTGGGATGAGCCTGCTTCCTCTTGCTGTGAGAGTTTAGCAGGACTGTTGTCACCAGCACTGTGGGGTCCTGATGGGGACAGGAGGTGATGGATGTGCTGCCCTTCCATGGCCGGCCGAGGGGGGGTGTCGGGGTAGTAAGGGCTGTGTATGGGGGATCTGTGGCAGCTCCCCAGCCGTGCTGGCGGGTGCGTGCCAGCTGCTCTAAATTAGAGCAGCCTGAAGCAGGTGTCTATAAAAGCACCATCATACACCATATGGGGTGTGAAATATTTATATCTGTCCACATCATTATGGTGCGTGGCTAAAAGTACTTCCAGGAATAGATTTCATACAGAATGTATGTTTTTAGTGTGGATGCAAATTTTAACTGCTGTTTCCTATTGGTACCACTCGTTACACCATTTTCACCTGGTTTTGCTTAGTGAAGGACGGAGGATGTAAATGAATGTAACAGCTCGAGGAGATGAACTCCTCTCACCCTGTTATGCTGGTTTTCAATTTCTGTCTGAAAGGAAAAAGTGTCCAGAGGTTGCTCTTAAATGATGTTTTCTAAATAGTCTGTAAAGCAGATGCTGGCCGTTGGAGTGTGAAACATTTTGAGAATATTAGGGGAGCGTATTCGGCCCCCAAAATGAACTCTTATTTTTGCAGAAGTGAGATTAACAAAAGGGCTGCCACTCTCATGATAATGATGGTAATAATAATAGCAATGACAGCAATAAAACCAACAATAATAAGAATCTGTAGGATTGTGCACGTTGTAGCGAATCACAGTCAGGGTTGCTGGGCTGGTTGCAGAGAACTCATCATGCCGCATGGTATTTTCAGTTTCTTTGTCTATAAACCTCACAAGTCATTGAAGCGTTGCTGCTGATTTCTTGAAAGTTTGCTCCCACCTGTCTGGCTTGGTGTACAAGGAGGAGGAGCAGAGCAAAGCCAGTAAAACTGTTGCCCATCCCGGGGAGGGCCGAGCGGTGGTCGCCTGGGGGTGAGTGTTGGGAAGGATCCCGGCAGGAGGAGGATATGGTGTCCCAGCATGAGGAGCCACCCTTTTGGTGTACTCTAGGCCTCCTGCCATGGGGCGTCACAGAGGGGGCACGGATGCTGAGGGAAGAGGTTGGGGACATCTTGCAAAGTTCTTCATTGCCCTCTAATGGCAAATTGTGGCAGGGGCATCACCATGTCCTCATCTTTGGAGACACTGGAGGTGTGTGGGGGGAATAATTAAACTGGAAGTTGCATGGTTTGCGTGGAAGGGTTTATTTCGGCTTGTGACTGGGAAATGGGCAGTAAGGGCCCTCTTGGCTGCACAGCCCTGGGTGAGAAGGTTGAGTCGCACCAGTCCCCGAGCCCTCCGGCTCTTGGGTGACACCCCAGCTCTGCCGAAGAGCAGGGTGGTGTTCCCCCAGGAGGGAGGGCTACCCGGCCTCGCTGCTTGGTGGGGAGTCCCTGCGCAGAAATCTGGTGGTGTGAGGTTAGGCTGCCTAACATAAGCAGTGTTCAAGATAGTCTGGAGAAGGGTAAGATCTGAGACCACAGAGGGACCCTCAGACTTGTGTTCATTTACGCTTTGGTTCAACAAGCGTGGACAAGTGGTTAGATCCTTCTCTAAACAAGGCAAAACCATTCATCACTAAGCTCTCTGTTACATCGTAAGAGATCAGTGCCACACACCTTTTCAGACAGGCTTGCTTCTGCTCCTCTTCCTCCTTTGCCACTGTTCATCAAGCTCTGCAAAGGGAAAATGGCATCCAGCCTTCCCACCTGTAAACCAGGTTTGGGGGGAGCAGGTTCTTGATGGTTTTTTTTTTAATTTTATTTTGGGTATTTTGTAAGATTGTGCTGGTTGAGATTGTAATCACACAGAGCTGTGGTGGTCCATGCCTGGCACTTTGAAGTCCCAAGATTGGGAGAGTGCCGACAAATATTTGCGTGTCCTTTGGATTCGGTCTGGGAGGTACTTTAAAGACAGGCTGGACCACGTCAGGGGTGCAGGCAGCCCTCCTGCCTGCTGCCCCGGGTGTTGGTGCACGGCTGATAAAGACAAAGAGGACAGGCGGTGACCGTTGGATGGGATTGAGTGAGGATCAGGGTTTTGTGGGGCTGCTGCGGCGTTTGTTGTTTGACACAAATATCTCAAGTGAGCCCCGAGCCTCTCTTCAGAAATGTGGTGAAGGGACAGTGATTGTGAATCCCAGAATCATCCGGGTTGGAAAAGCCCCTGAAGCTCCTCCAGCCCCACCATGACCCTCCCCCTGACCGTTCCCAACTCCCCCAGATCCCTCAGCGCTGGCTCAGCCCGACTCTTCAACCCCTCCAGGGATCCCGGGGACTCCCCCCTGCCCTGGGCAGCCCATTCCAACGCCCAACAGCCCCTTCTGCACAGAAATCCTTCCTCAGAGCCAGCCTGACCCTGCCCTGGGCAGCTTGAGGCCATTCCCTCGGGGCCTGGCGCTGGGGCCTTGGCTCCAGAGACTCATCCCCCCTCTCTGCCCCCTCCTGGCAGGGAGCTGCCGAGGGCCAGGAGGTCTCCCCTCAGCCTCCTCTTCTCCAGACTGAACCCCCCAGTGAAGTTGCTGCGTGTTACCATATGGTGCCATTAACCCTTTTGCCACAGAGATCTGGATTTTTCTGATGACATTCAACCAGGTGTTTTCCATATCCCTGCACATGCTTCAGTAGCCATTTACAGCTCCATTTTGAGAGCCTTTGCCTAAAAAAAAAAATGTTGTGTATACTATTGAATGTGCCCTGTTGTGGGTAAAGGACAGGATAGACTATCAGTGTTTTATTGAACGGTAGAGACGCTCATGGCGGTTATTTATCTGAGTTGCTAGCCGTGTGAGAGGTGGCTCACTGGACATCAGGGAGCGAGGGAGCAGTGGGAGGTACGTGCCCAGGGCACGAGGGGTCCAGGGCTCAGCGGTGTGGGGCCGGACAGGGCTTGGCATCTCAGCCTCGGAGGGAGCCTCTGTGGCTCTTGTGCCTCTTGGCCGGGTCCCTTGCAGAAGCAACGGTGACCTGGTTTTGCAGAAAATGAACAGTGGTGGAAACAGATCCCTCTGCCCCGTAATTAGTGCAGAGATGCTCGGCTGCTGTCGTTTTAGTCCATAATAAGGCGTATGACATGACGTACTGTCCTGGTGGCTGGGTTGCTGGGGCAGGGCTGAGCTGCCCTCCAGGTGCGTGCGGGCTGGGCTACGGGGGGTGGAAACGTGCGCCGCATTTACAGCGTCTTTGTGCCTCGGGAGTGAGAAGACACAGGTCTCCAGCGCTGCTTGCCCACCTCCTTTCTCCAGCATTCACCATCCCTGGGCTTTATTCACTCCGAGACATGCCCGGATACCGGGTGGGGTGTGCTGGGAACTTACCTAATGTGTATGAATCCTAAGAATGAAACAATCTAGGGAGGGTAATAATAATAATAACATATGTCACTAATGCAGAAAATGTCCTGAATGGTTTTGGAAGCAAAAGTTCTCTGGAAAAGTCACAATTTCCTGGTTACGGAATTAATACGTTTTCCAGATTTGGATGAACAAGAGATGTGTCGAGTTCTTTGCAGGATCACATGGAAGAGGAAATACAGAAATCTGGCAGTCCCTCCTCGCTGCTGAAGTAAAGGCTCCCAGCACCCCCTTTTTTTTGTATCCGCCAGAAAAGAAAGTGCTAATTCTGGAGATTGATGGTAAAAGAAGCACAGGAGCTGTGGTGTGCTCCCCTGTCCAAGTTTTTTTCCTCAATTCTGATAATTTATTACCCTAAAGGGAGGTTTTGAGGACCAGGTCATCTCACTGCTCTCTGGTCCGGTGCTGCTGGCTCTTTACATGTGCTTCTCCGTGCTCGTCTGTCATTGTGGCTTAGGGCACCACTCCTCAGCAATTTTTCAAGTAAGAAAGGGCCTTTTATCCTTGGGAAATTAAGTTAGTTTGCTTTCTAGGTGCTGACAAAGACAGGGTCGAGTTATTGCCGGTCTGTGCCTTTCTCCTTTCAGGGCTGTAGATAGTGTTGGTGCTTATATGAGTCACGTAGTGGAGATAAAATAGGTTTCATCGGGATTTATTAGCTTTGTTGTGTCTGAATGGCCTGGTCCAGGGGCGACTGGGAGGGGAAGCCACCGTGTCCCAGTCGTGATGTCACCCACTGGCTTACGCTTGTTTGCTCAGTGAAGTTGGGAGACTCAAAGAGGGATTTTAAACTTCATATGTGTGTGGTAAAAATCCCCAACCTCCTCGTTCACATAGCGTTAAACCCCTTGCCGTGTAAATTTTCTTATTTTGAAAGCAGATTTGGCCAGTGAGCGATTCCAAATTGCCAGAAGTGGAGAGAGGAGGAGCAGACAGGAAAAAGCTGCAGTTTTTAACTCGTTATTTACGGTATCTAAGGCAAGTGGATTAGGTGTGGAGAGCAGTGCCTCAGCGTTAGCCAGGAAGTGTGTTTGTCTCTACAGGGCAGTAAATAGTCAAGAAGGACCAGAGGACCTTGAGAGGACCCTGGCTGGCCAACCTGCACAGTGCTTACAGCATTCATGGCAAGTGGGACACCAGACTGCTGGTCCAACAAGCACCGGCCCTTCCGCCCCGTGTGAGCTCTGGCAGAGTGTCAGTTTTGGGGAGGAGGATGGCTGCAGGCAGACGTTTGGGGTGTCCTGGAGGCATCAGGGAGCCTCGGGCTGCCATCACTGCACAGCACTGAGCCCTGGTTCTTGCAGCTTGCGACATACCAGCCTCTAAACCAGCCAAATCTGGATAAACCGAGACCGTAACCATAGCCAGGAAAGGGCAGTTTTAAAGGCCAATCCCTCATGGCTTTCCAAAGCAGAAAATACACTTTAAGAGGACTATAAAAATGTTTCCAGGACTAGTAGATGTTCACCACAAGTGGTTCATGGTCACCATTGGTGGTATCTGCTGTTCATGGATAATGGCTTTAAAATCCTTCAACCCAAATAATTCCACTATACAGTAATGAGAAGCATCTTTTTTGATTAAGTCACTGTAGAGATTATTACATAAACACATAATTACAAACAGAAACATGTAGTGTCTGCATCACAGACCTACTAAATGTGCTCGTTGAGTCTCAAAGAATTTAATTTTGAAGACTTCAGATATTAAAACTGGCAGTTAGGAAGAGCTCCTGTCACTTTAGCAGATGATGACTGATCAGTTAGTGAGAGAAATAAATCTGTAAAATAGCTTCTCCGGAGGATTAGACTAAACACAGCAGAGCAACGTCAGCATGAGAGAACCCCCCAAAAGGGGAGGAATAAATAGGAGAGCTGATGTGGAGACACGCTAGTCTGGGACTAGATAAGAGAGCTAACGTGGAGCCTTGTTAGACTGGGACTCTGATGTCACCCGCCGCTGTTCAGGAGTGGACCTTTGGCTTGGAGCTCCACCGCTTTGCTCCAGCACTTCCAGGTGCAACCAATAATATTCAGACATGGTTACCAAGTGGCACAGTGAAAACACTTCTACCTTCATGGGTTTTTCCAGAGAAGGAGCTGGTTTTTCAAATGCTTTGAAGTCTGTGGAGCTAATCTAAAACTGTTGAGGGGGAAGGAAGATGAGAAACGATGATGGTCTCCAAGGTCCAGATATCTCTTAACTCTCCGCTAGTCTGCAATGGGCCAGATTCTCATCTAGAGCAAAGTGCTTTTTTTTTTTGTCTGTCTGCCAGCGTGAAAAAGTTTAAAAATGGGTTAATGGATGAAAATGGCTTCTAAATAACTTATATTTATGCCCACTGTAAAGCCACAGACCACAGTATCCTGAGGGGGCTGTAAGTCTGAGAAACTGTCCTAACAGCGGACTGTAGAAAGGGCAAAAATGAGCAGTTAACGATACTTAGACAGCTGGACTAGATGATTGTTGTAGCTCCCTTCCAACTGAAATAGTCTGGTCTAGTCTAGTCGGTTCTGTTCTTCTAGTTGATTTATTTTACTTGCTTTTTTTTTTTTTTTAAATTCCTTTGAAGTCCCCATCAACACCTGTGGGTGTTCCTGCTCCCATTTTCCGGAGATCTGAGTGCTGGGGCTGACCATAGTGTGCCCCTCGGGCTGTGGTAGGTGACTTCTGCTTGTGCCAGTGGATGTGTGTGATGGAGCCTTGGCACACCATTTCCAAACCTGTCTAGAACTCCGTCCATCTGTCTGGTGTGTCTGTCTTTCCCAGCACACCAGTAGCAGTTCCAGTTAGCAGCAAATTTAACTAGAAGGGTGTGAAAGGGATTGTCTGACCCGGGAGATGGGCTCCAAGCATCCGTGTCCACAGAGCCAAGAGGTGAGCGTGGTGCTGGGGGAGGATGGACTGGACAGACACCATTGGTGTCACTTTGGGCAGAGAGGAACTTTGTATTTCCTGAGCTGTTTTAGATAAAAAGGAAATGCCAAATTCCAGGACTGTGTTTGGCCTGTACGTGTGAGGCTGCATGGAAAAAAAAAACCCAAACCAGTTGTAAAAGAGGAAAGAAATGTCTGCTGTCTGTCTTACCAAGCTCTCGCCTGGGGTTGGTGCACCACAGGGCAGATTTTTTAGTTAATTTTTTCCTGCTGACCATGATGAATTACTTTTACAGCAAGCAGCAGGATAATAACAGGAACAACTTCTGGTGTTCAGACAGTACATTCTGGTAACTGGGCAGCAGTGTCCTATTCATTATGAAATACTTTCAGATAATGTAGTCAAAATTGCATCCTGACCTAATAAAGGGAGGTTTCAGATATCAGTTATAAAATGCAAAATTTCAGGAGGAAATTGTTATGAGATCTTTCCTCAAGGGAAAGGGCAGACTAGTTTAAAATTCTTGCAAGATACAAATAGTATCAGAACTTCTGGTAATGCTCTTAACAGGTTTGAACATAGCATACTGCTTGTAGAACAACTCGTGTTTCACAGCAGCTTTTGTAGGATAAATTTCAAGCTGACCATGCAACTGGTAAAGCAAAAATCCAGCAGCTCTCAGAATACAAACTTCACAGACTTTTTATTTGTCATCAGAATCTTTAATTCAGTTCTGAACGTGTCTGATGCTGGAGTGCGGATTGGGTGTCCCCTGTAAGGTTAGCAGTGGGAAACCTTTGGTGAGGAATGAGTCTCGGAGGCAGGTGGGAATGTCTGGGGATATTTCTTGAGTGGGAATATGACTTCTTTATTGCTGACATGTGCTGCTCTTCCATTAATTTTTCTGGAATTCGAACAATGAAATGATGAGACTTCTCCCATGGCTAGACCGTGCAGTGGTTTTAGGTTCGTTCCAGGTGATAGAAGAGGTGTCTTGGCTTTTGTGGTGATCAAACATGGACATGTGGCTGCTCTTCAACACTTCCCTTTCCTCTCAGTACTCCTGGCTAGCAGAAACCCAGTCATTTCAGATGTGTGTGTTTGTATGTGTAGCTAAAATTCAAAATCGTAATTGAATATGTAAGGTGTATTTTTATGCGTCCTATTTAAATATCAAATTTCAGAACATCAGGATACATGTAAATGTATTTTATTTGCATGCATATTGTATATGCATAAATTATATACTTATGAAGGTACATAGGAAACCATATTATAAATATAGACTGTTTAAATACATGTGTGTGCATGCATTTTGTATATATAGTAAGTAAATACAGAAGATGTTATAAAATGGCTGATGTTTATTCTTGCATCCTTTGCAGGAAAGGTTTCAAGTGAAGAATCCTCCACATACATACATCCAGAAGTTGAAGGGCTATCTGGACCCGGCTGTAACCAGGAAGGTGAGGAGCATCCTGTTCCTCTCGCCCATCCCTCGATCCTCAGCGAGGACGGTCCCGGGGTCCGGGTTGTTTCCTGCTTTTGTGTAAAAGGCCCCGTAAAACTCTCTGAGAAGAGTCTCAGAGATGGAACAAACTGTAGAGAGAAGTGGATAGAAATTGGGAAGACGCTGCAGTTTTCACAGCTCAGAAAGGAGAACAGATGTTGCAAAGAAAAGGACCATCTGACACATGAAACAACTTGTTTTAATAACTTTAGCTTCAGTAAACAGTCTGGCAAATTATCACTGAGCTGTACTCTAGGTCTGACTTTTCATGTGGGCAGTGCTGGTGGTGAATAAAACCTTTGTCAGATGGCACTTTTCTCAGCCGTGTGAAGGGGGTGTTGGAGTTCCGAGTCCTCTTCTGTGGGCATTTGTGTGACAGCAGTTCAGTGCAGCTGGTGCACTTCACCTCTCGCTTGCATTCTCACCTGAGGTTTCAGTAAAGATGTAACCTGGGGTGTATTTACGTGCCAGAGCCTCATCCATCCTTCTGCATATTGTTTTCTCCAAAATAGTTTCATAATCACACATGAAAGACTCAGGCACTTCACTTGGCCTTTCATGTGAACGCCGTGCATCCCTGAATGTGGCTTCTGTACTGGGATGGATTTGTGGCTGGTTCTGATATTTCTGCACCACTCTGATGGGCTTAGTAATAGCTTCCAGGATTTCAGATAACAGTAACCCTACATCCCATTTAGATGACCATTGCTGAACCTTTGGTATTTAACCGCTTTGGATATCAGCTCATATCCTGTGTTGATAGTTGTAATAGCCTTTAAAAAAACCCAACAAAACACCAAAAAACAAAACCAACAAAAAAAGGCAGCGAGAGCATAGCAGATCCTGCCATTGACTGCCTCTGCCTCGTCCTCAACAATCACTGCTTTGTGTTGCTGTACCATTAGCTGAGGTCGGTGCCTGCGGTAAAATCCGTATCCTGACACGGGGCTGCCAGGCTGGGGCCGCTCCAGCCGTGGCAGAGGTGCCCCTCTGTCCCCGCCAGAGCCCGGGGGCAAACACTGGCCACCCTCTGCTGCCAGCGCCCCGTCGCTAGCTCCTGTCTTCAAGGCTGCAGTAATGGCTTCTGACAGAGCTTCTCTTGTTGGAGGCTCCGACGAGGAGTAGGAAACCATTTAGTAGGAAACCTTCAAATTTGCCTGGAGCTGATTGTAGTTTTCTTTTTTTTTAAAAAAAAAAAGGTTGAACAGGGGTCTTTGTGTTTTTTCTCCTGGAGGGTTTTTGAAATCCGTTCAGTGTTTGGCTTTGTCCTGTGGTTGCTCCGTGGGCACACATTGAAGCTTTTCTTACCCTAATGCCACTGTGAGTCCCATGACTAACGACAAAAGCGAAGGAGCCTAAAAGTAACTCCTGAGTTCCTCTCTTCTGTCGCATTATGCTGTATCACCGAGCAGCCTTTCCTTATCCTGGGCTGCGAGGCAGAAAGATTTACAAATGGGCTTCTGGACGGAGCACGGTGTGGTGGGGAGAGCTCCCCTTTGCAGGATTATTGTTGTAATGGAGGTTGTGTCAGCGTTTTTGTGGATCTATCCATCCCCAGCGTGGCCAAGAGAAAGGGGCTCCAAACGCTGCTGCAAAATGTCCCTTTCGCCTTGTAATTGGGGTCAGAACGGCTCTTCCCAGGAAAAAACTGCTTTGTGTCTGAGCTGAATTTTGAAACAGGAAAATGAAAGTGTTGAAATGATGTATTTTTAAAGAAATGGCAGTTTGGTGGCTTCTGGAGCCCAGTAAAACACAGAGCTGGGTCACAGCCTGGCCTCGCTGGGGATGACGGTCCCGCGTGGGGCACGAGGGAACATGCTGCCTGTTTCCACCTCGCCCTCCCACCCCTGTCTCCTCCCTGCCTCTTACTACATCCATATTTTACCTTTCTAGAGAGGTAAGGCTTTATTCTGCCTGCAGTTATATTGTGTAAGCTCCCTCGGGAGAGAAGGCTCTGTGTTTTTGTACTCTGAGCTAGTTAACTGAGGTCCAGAGAAACTATGTCTGATCTCAGCTAGCTCTTTCAGAGTAAAAACTAATAACACCTTGTGTCTATTAGGACTTTACAGCGAGGCATCTATTTCAGTCCGCTGGTGGCTTTTTGAGCTGGGATTTAGTCTCACCTCAAGTAAGCCAGTGGTGCTAAATAGCACGTGCTAAAACCCCGGTGAAAAAGGCGGCTGATGGTGTTCACACCGGTCAGCAAGGTGAGGTAAATCCTGTCCTTTCATCATCTTCACCTCGGTGAACGAACCCATGAGAATTATGACTGCCAAGCAGTCCCCTTGATTCTACTGCGGGTTTATTGCGGTGCAGTGAGAACAAACCCTTTTCCCCCCCAGTATTCAGAGCGCAGGCCTACTTAGAGCAGCACTGCTTGCTCCTGAGCGTTTCAAGCCCTTTCTGCACACATCAAGTCTGTGTGTGGGATAACTGAGGGGCAACTTGGGTGTTAAGTACTGCACTTCAAGGTGATTACCCTCGTCCAGCCACTTCTGCTTGTTCATGAGGGAGAATTCACGGGAAGAACAGCTCCAGAAGGATTTATCCAGCTGTTTTAGCGCATTTCCATGGGCAGGGAGCACCAGGCGGGAGAGAAGGCGAGTGTCTTTCTCTGGGAGAGGAGGCGGCTGGCTCGCTCTGCACACCAACAGTAGCCCTGCGGCAAGCTGGTCTTGCAGAGGGTGGAGAGGAGCTCAACTTGAGATGGGCTGGAGTGCATTTATTTAGAGGTCTTCTGCCATGACCGGTGCTGCTTTGAGCTGTGAGCGGGGCTCTCACAGCATCCCGGGGAGGTTTTGCGGCGTCGCCCTTTCTCCTCCCCTGCGGAGATGACACAAAACCTCATCTCCTTCCTGCTGCAGCGTCCACTCCTGCCATTTTACAGCCTTTTCCCAAGCATCTAATTCTGCAGATACAACTTAGTGTGCACAAATTATTAAAGCACGCAGATGGCAGCACATGTGTATTTCATTACTGGCTCGCACCCACAGGTTCGGTTGTTACACAGAAATCGTGGCAGGTTTTTTGGTGTGGTGTCAAGTCGCGAAAGCGAGATTAAAGCACAGGCTGAGAAGGAAGGCCAAACGCTGTTGGTTCTCAATGGAGAGTCTGATACTAGAACAAAACTTTGTTTTATAAAGAAATGTTTATTTATCTACAGGCTTTTAATTTTCTTAATCCTGGAAAGTCAAAAATGCGCACGGGAACAGAAGTTATTTTTCTGAGCATGTTTTTGTTGACTGCTGGACTATTGTTGTATTCCTCAGGATTTAGAGGGGTTCTCAGTTTACCTTAATGTTTTATTTATTCATTCTGCACTGCGTGAGATGTTGATTTTTTTTTTAATAGCTTCACATGAGTCTAATTGTTATTTTTGCCTGCTCACTCGATTACAGAAATTCAGAAGACGAGTCCAGGAGTCTACTCAAGTACTGCGAGAACTGGAAATTTCTTTAAGAACAATCACATCGGGTAAGAATTTTTGATGTCCTTTGGTCTAAGATTTTTTTTTTTTACATCTACTGACGGATGCCTTTGAGAAAATCTCTCTTTGCACGTCAGCAGTGATACCACTTGATAGATCATTAAAGCCTGAAGGGCTTAGTTAAGGGGTAGCTGGGCATCTCAGGAGAATAATTCAGCTTTAATCCTTTCATGATAGGGTTCATCCACATCTCTGGGAAGGCTGTGAGAAGATTGCAGTCAGCTTCTGCTCACCCAAAGTCAGTCAAAGCAGCAGTGAGCATGATTCTGTCTAGAATAGTAATAGTATTGCAGCTATAAATATATATAACACACCCCCCCCCATGCTGTTTTATAGCTTTAATATGATGCAGTTCATGAAGCCTGACTGTCACTAATATTCCCAGTATTTTTCTTCTACAAAGCACAAAATTCCTGTCAGATAGCAAAAGTAAAATAATTGCAGAGATTTTTATGGAACTTGCTGTTCCCATCCACGTTTCCCCTCACCTCTCTGCTTTGCCTCTCGGGACCAGAAGCTGGGTCAGCACCTGTACATCAGCTGGGAAGATTTCTTCAGTGTTTTTTTTCATGAGCACACACTGTGTCCAGCTCAATTACATCGATTTTATAGGATGCTGCTCTTCTTTTGTGGAAATGATGTTTTAAACTGTGGGAGGGAGAGCCGTTCTCTCTCTGTGGGAGCCAGCTCCCAGCATGGCGTGCACGGCAGTGGGGGACCCTCACAAATATTTCCAACAAACTTCTCCTCAACCCCTTCTCTGGCTCCTGCTGTGATTTCCCTCGTTTTCTGACACAAAGGATTCCCCACCCGAGACTTAGGGCATCTGAAGCGTGAAGCTCTGCAGATTGATGACGGCTCACGGGAACGCAGAAGGAACCGCAGTGGTTCACCAGATAAATAAAAGAGGCTGACAAGACCAGCGTTTATTTATTTGGTTCACTTGGCTGAAAGATGGGTGTCAAAATACATCCCATAAAAATGCCAGGTTGTTTATTTTAGCAGGTAAACAGTAAAAGATTGAAAGCCTGAAGACTAGGATAACTCAAGAATTCCCACTCTGCTGGGAGCAGGGCATCGATAGCTGCGAGGCCACGGAGGCAGCACGAACCCGGAGCCCCAGTTCCCTCCCTGACTCCCCACTCATTCCAGTGGCACCTAACCCACTCCTGGTGAGGTTTCACCTGCTCTGTTGCGGTTCAGAGGAGAGCTGAGCTGGGGCTGTGCTGAGGCTCCTTGCTCGCCTGGCTTTGCCCCCACATGGAGGGATTTTCAAAACATCTTTGGCATTTTCAAGCTTTTGAAAGCTTTGGAAGAGAATAGACTTATCTGAATTGTGGCTTATTTTGTATAATTCTCAGGGGCCAAAATTCACAGTGACCAGTTAAAAAGAGAAGGCAAAATTACTGCTAAACACCATGGCCAGGATGTCAGATTATTCTTTTGCCAGTGTGCTGTCTATATGCTTTTAGGGATTGCTAGAGATCAGAATGTGACAAAAAATAAACCATGTCCCCGCGACTCAGGGGTTAGAAGGTGGCTGTGGCCATGCTCAGTGGTTCGTGCAGCCGGGGTGGAGATGAGCCTGGGTTTGGAGTGAAGCTGGGCAGAGCCGAGCTCCTCAGGCACCCATGGCCATCTCACACCAACGCTGTTATGGTGGGCAGAGCGGTTAGTTACCCACTCCGAAGCTCAGGACTTAGAAGAGCAAACATCTAGTTTCTGAGCAATTCAGGGTGTGCATAGGGGGTTTTATGGTTGGGTTGGGTTTTTTTGAGGGATGTTTTTCCCATCACAGTGCTGCAAAAAAGCTTGTTTCAGTACATTCGTAAGGTCCTCCAAAGGACTGTTTTAAAGTCCTCTAAATAATAAAGAGCATTTTTGAAAAGTCCTCTCTTCCTGAGTGAGAAAGCAAAGTTTTGCTCAGCAGTGCTGCCTTTCCTGCAATGGATCTGTCTCTAGTTTGTCTGACAAGAATTCCAGTAACTGCACAAACACTCTGATGTCTAATGATTTTTCTAACAGATGGGTCAGGGAGTTCCTGAATGAAGAAAACAAAGGCCTGGATGTTCTGGTGGAGTACTTGTCGTTTGCACAGTATGCTGTCACGTAAGTAAGACATGCCTGGTACTCTCTGGGCACAGCAAGAATCCTGCCATCTCTAACAGAGCAGGAGAGGGAAATGCCAGGGCAGATGCTCAGCTTTCCCTGTGGCAGACCTTTCCTCTTAGTAGCTCGATACGATGCTTTGGATGTACTTTAGAGCAGAGAAAACGGTAATATTAGTCCAAAACTTGCATTGGAACATTTTGCAGAGAAAAAAAGCCTAAGTTTAAACCTTGAGATTATCTCTAAGAGCATACTGACATTTTTAAGCTGTGGCCTCTGACCATCTCAGGGATACAGTGCAAAAAAAATATTCAGCAAATGCGTGGAAGCATGCAGGCTTCCTTAGAGACAGGTTTGCAATTAGTGCCCGGCCCCAAGGCCCACCCTGCTGCCCAACCTCCACGCACGAGCCACTTCTCACGAGGCTCCCGGCAAGCAAAGCTGGCAGCATCCTCTGCAGTAGATGCACTGCAAGACAACAGCAGTAATTGCAAGGTGATTTTGCAAGTTGGGAAGACTATAAAGCATGTTTTTACGATTCTGACATCTGGTTAGTTGGGAGTCGGATTCAGTCATTTAGGTAATAAATCATTAAATGTACTCTATTAAAACAAATTGGGAAAAAAATCATTATATCACACAATTTGAAATGAATATTCAGCGGAGGATCTGTGTTTGCATATCCACAGGCTTTCATTCAGGATGTTTTAGCAGTAGATTTTTGTATAAAAGCACACAAAAAGAAGCAGTGGGTTAAAGGTACTGTTGTCATTAGGAACTCGAGCTGAGTAGAGTTGATACTTTATTTTTAGAAAGATGCCATCAGATGTATATGTATATCACTGCACAGAAAAGAGACTGTTGGTGAGGTTGCAATAAAATTAATGAAGGAAAATTATATGTTTTAAGATGTTACTAATGCTGGAAAAAACTGTGCACAGCAAAAAGAAGTGTTTCAGAGACTTTCTTCCTAAAATTATACAAATGTACACGAGTTAGCTTGCTGGGTTTTTCCCCTCTCTAACGTGGTAAACATGAGTAATAACCTCAAAAGCTGTAAGGAGAACAAGCAATTTTTGCTCAAAATAGCAGTACAATGGGCAGTGAGTCAGAAATCAAAGAAAATCTGTAATGATCACGGTAATATATTGCATATGCTGAGAGATTCATAAGGGCCAACCAAGCGGTGTAAGTGCTCAGTCAGATATCGATGGAGGAAAGTGAATTAGTACTTGCACGATGGTTTATTGAAGTAAAATGGAGACAGCTTTAAGCGTTCCCACTCCTTCCTTCAAGGCAGGGCTGTTCACCAGCAAAGCGGCTGATGTTGCATTTATTTTACATTGAAGTAGAATAATCCATGGCTATTTGATCCTTGCAAGTGGTGTGCTCATGTGGTCAGCTGCTCCCTTTGTCAAGGTGGGATAGACTGGCTCTGAGGAAGGATTTCTGTGCAGAAGGGGCTGTTGGGCGTTGGAATGGGCTGCCCAGGGCAGGGGGGAGTCCCCGGGATCCCTGGAGGGGTTGAAGAGTCGGGCTGAGCCAGCGCTGAGGGATCTGGGGGAGTTGGGAACGGTCAGGGGGAGGGTCATGGCTGGGCTGGAGGAGCTTCAGGGGCTTTTCCAGCCTCGGTTGAGTGTGAGTCTGTAAGGCCCACATTTGCTGCACTGTGGGTTTGAAGCTCACCCTGAGGTGCAGCCAAAGGGAGGTCAGCCTGCTTTACTCTCCTCCTTGCTTTTGGTAATCTTCTGGGACCTGCTCCAGTCTGCAGACGCTGAGCAGGAGAATGCTACACGCATCTTCCCTGTCTAACCCGCCGTTGGCATTTCTATTTCCTTTCAGGTTTGACTTTGAGAGTTTGGAGAACAATGTGGAAAACTCAATGGACAAGTCCAAACCTTGGAGCCGCTCTATTGAGGACCTGCACAGAGGCAGTAATTTACCCTCACCGGTTGGCAACAGCATCTCCCGCTCCGGCAGACACTCGACTTTACGGTAAGGTGTTTAGTCAGGCAGTGGGTGACCTGCAAACAGCGAGTGCCCCAGTAAGGAGAGTCAGGATGGTTTTCCAATTAGAATGTTTTTCATCTGCCCTCTTCTCACAGAGTAGGCTTGACATATATAGGAAACCTGTCATTGTAGTGACGGTTTTGAGGTGGAAAGAAATGCTAAGCTAGTAACCCAGGGCAGCGGTACGGAGCGGTTGAGGAAGAGACAAGAATAACTCTGCCTCCCTTTCCAGTGGCGGAGTGATCTCAGGATGCACGATGCGTTTCCATCAGGTACAATGTGGCTTGCACAGAGGAAGCAATTTCTCTTCTCCAAAATGTCTCTCAAGATTTCCAGGGACCTGGCCAGGCTGGGGCTCCCATCCGGTGTCTTGTCCAAAAAGGTCTTTTCTAGCAGCACATTCCTTCCGTGCTGCTACGAACATGATTTTTTTTTTTTTTTTTTTTTTTAAAAGATCACTTCCATCCTTCAAACCTGCTGTTAATTCTAGCACCACCCCAGGCTTTACTACTCTCTTTCCAAGTACTGCTTTTTTTTTTTTTTTTTAATTTTGTGGAAAAAGCAGGATCTCTTCCCAGGACTGAATGGCAGTCAACTCTGTTACATTCCTTTGATGCTTCACTATTATAAACCAGACTGACTGCCACCTTCAGTCCAGCAGTACTGTTACCTCGGGGCACAGCTCAGAGTGCCAAATGCTTTTTGACTTTTTCTTGGCTTTTATGGAGTTCTGTTGCATAGTACTGTGAGCCTAGAAGAGTCCAAAAAAGATGGAGGCAGCGAGGACTTGCAGCTTTTCCCTACATCTTCCAGCAGAGGCTGAGTTTTGGGTTGTTAGTCACTGGTAATGTCGGCCCTTGAGCTGGTGTTGGGTGGGTGCCTTCCGCCCACAGCCTGCGTGGTAGTGGGTGGGATACATGGAAGATGTAGTTCACAGACATCAGGCAGCGGAGAGGAGGAGACAGACACACAGCTCTGGTAAAGAGATACAGGCCGTGGAGTCCAGCAAAAGCACTTGACCAGTTGATTTGGGTTTTTTTAAATGTTGCAAAGGTGGTCTCAGTGGTTTTGGTTTTGTTTAATCTTTGATTATTTAGACAGAGAAATGGTAGAGTCTTGTGCTTGCAGGACGATGTCTGATTCTGCTCTCTGTCTTTGGGAGGTGTACTTGTGATTAGTTACACTAGAAATGCATAAGTCAGGTATACATTACATGTCTCTTACATTTTTTCTCTTCATTTCCTTTTTCACATCCCCCTTTATTCCTTACCTTTTTGATATTCCATTTCAACATCCCCTTCCTTGCATCCTTCATTCCCCTCCCTCTTTCGCTCTTCTCCGATTCTGTCTCTCACATCCTTCCTTCCTCTGCTCTCATCCTCATTTCACATACCATCAGATTGGTTTCTCTGCCTGAACAACTTCAGTTCAAACGCTGCCAGAGCTGCTTTTCAGCCAACTGCCTCTGGAGCGGCTTCACTTTGCGCTCTGCTGATGAGGCTTCGAGCCGGAAAATCTCGTAAGTCCCCGGTGGAAGGTTGCCCGCCGGCCGGGCTGCACAGGCATGGGAGCCACGTGGCTAGTGCTGCTCCCCATGCCCTATAATCTGGTAATCACACGTCTTGGGAGAGCGGCCGCCTGAGCATCAGAGGGAGCTTTCACTCTCCAAAATGTGTGGTTATCACATTATAACTTCAAAGGGTAGTTTGCTTCCGTAGAGTGGGATTTTTCTAAAAGTAAAACGTGGTTTACTTTGAAACAACATACTGGTTTTCTTTATCACACTGCAAACAGTATTCTTAGTTTCACACCTAAAGCATAGAGCCCTTAGTTACGCTCTGTGTTATTTCATAATTTTTATTGCAATTGGTGATTTATTATCATCAATTTTATTACAAATATATAGAGACTTCACTCATATCCATAACTGGCACAGAAATGCAACCTAGTACAGTGTTTTTCAGCCAAGTGCTCTCCTCCTGCCTGCAGATCCATCTCTGTTACCAGGGCACCTTGGGCAGAAACTGCCCAAGCTTTATGTGGAATTAGCATCTTTGGTTTGTGTTTTCATTTAAAAAAAAAAAAAAAAAAGCAGCTTTAAAATGTGTATTTTTTCAATAGCTGGAGACTGTGTGTATTAAAAAGAGTAAAAGCTAAAAGTAGATGGGAAGTTTTTAAGAAGGATTTTTTTGTATAATTAATAAATACTAGTTAACTAAACCAGAATCTTTTCCTGAGGACAAGCTGGGTGCTCATCACATTCAGTGGGTGTGCAGGGTGGCATTTCTGGTTAAAACCAGGAGGTTTCTGCCCCATCGATGTGTCTGGGACATGCAGAGACCCAGGGCATGGGTTCTGCTGTGTGGAAGCTCCTCTTCTTTGTTGTGAAAAGCATTCAAGGGAGAGAAAGGGAGAAGTGGATGGAAAAGGAGAAGGTTGACAAACTTAACAGGGTAATTTAAATTTCAGGAGCTGGACTCATCCCTGCAGTGCCCTAGCAGTATGAAAAATGAGAACAGGTTTGGCCCGCATTCCTTTTTGTTAAAACAGCAAGAAGTTTTGGGGAGACAGTGTTTCATGCCTGCTTTAACACCGTTTTTTCTCATTTTTGGTGCCTGTATGGCAGTGTCATGGCACCAGCAATCCTGCCTGTCCTCAGCAGTAAACCTGCCGTGGCCCTCAGCACCCTGCTGATGTGTGCTGCACATGTTTATTGAGAGCAAAAGGAAGAGGAGATAAGCACAAAGCGACACTAGGGACTTACTGGAAGGTGTATAACCCTTGCACGCTCGCAAACAGTGCAGCTCCATCGCAGTGAGCAGCCAGGCAGGGCAAGCTCACTGCGGTGTGCGCTCGCCCGGCGGTGACGTGGGCACGGAGGCTTTCTGTCTGCTCGCTTGCGTGGCTGAGGCTACCCGTTCCTAATTGTGACTTTAACTGGCTTCCCGTAGCTCTTTTTAGTAGTGCTAAACCCTGCCAATTCCCTGCTCACTGGGTTTCCTTGGCAACTGAGGGTTGGTTTTTTTTGGTTTGGTTTGTTTGTTTTGTTTTTTTTTTTTAAGAGGAGGCACAGAGATTTGGGAAGCAAACACCAAAATGAGGGCAGAAGGATAAAAATGGGGATGAACCTTTGGGGATTTATTGCTGCTTTTTTGGGGAGAAAGAGCATTACTTTCACATGGGAGTCATACTCTCCTGTCAGATAAATATTAATGCAGACTTTGTGATGTCCCAGCCCATTAGAAATTCCCTTTCTTCTGAGTCAAATACTTCAGTTTTTATGTGGATTGAACTGAGAAACTTAATTTCTTTCTTGAAAATCTGGAGAGTCCATAATGAGAGAGCGGTCCAGGCAAACGTATCTTTATCCATCAATGGGCTTTGATTGCACCTGGTAGTTTCATGTAGCCTGCTTGGTGGTGGTGTGGAATGTTTGTAGGTAACAGTAGTCCTGGTTGAACCGGGGGAGAATCTGCAGGACCCGTCTGTGTTTGCAGACAGAGGGGAAGAGGCACGCTCCGGGCTTTGCTGGACGTTCTGTGGGCAGTGCATGGTGTGGCAGAGCCGAGCTCCTCCCGGCTGTGCAGTCACGTCCGTGGGCACACACCGGCTGCGTGGCCTGGCAGGACGGGGGGGAGGCCAAAACCAGAGCCGTTTCAATTTATTTTCTCACCTTTTTTAAGCAACAAATATCTCCTCAGCTTTACGCATTAATAATCTTCCCAGATTCTGTTAGATGAAGACAAACCCAGCAGGCTCAAAGTCATTTTATTTTCTTCCCATTTGTGGCACAAACCAGCTTTTGTTGCCTCTGTTTGAAGGGGCAAAAATGAGACATTTTCGGGCAGCAAGGCTGCCTGCTCTGCCTTCCCCTGTACGGGTGGAGGAGCTGCTTGCACCTTACTGGTTTTAATGTTTAAGGGGTGAAATGCTGGGGTTTCAGCCCCAACCCCAGATTCAGGCTGACATCTGGGTGATCCCCCAGCCCTTCCCAAGGGGGGGTGAGTTTCCCTTCAGGCTCCCCCCCCAGGGTGGGTCCTGGCAGACAGAGCCATTGGGTAAAGGAGCCCCAGGGGTCCCGCAGGGAGTAACCCAAGGTCAGGTGTCCCACGCAGGGATAACAGCCGGGACCCCTCGCAGGAGGGGCAGTGTCTGTGTGTGAGGGGGGTGCCCTGGGCAGAGTTCCCTGTTGGGGAAGGACCTCCCGCCTCCCCGGGACTGGGCTCCACTCAGGTCTGGCTTTTGTAAACGCGGGCTCTGTAGGGATTCAGTATGTGGCTTCCTTGGTCTGATGTGTTTGGCGTGTTGACCTGGTTGCTCCCATCCCTTCTATGGGAGACTGCATGTCACCGTTTACCCCACCCATTGTTGGTCGTGTGGTGTCATTGTTGGGGTCAGTGGGATTGATGTCAATTATGTATAACCTGATAGGCCTGTTTGTACCCCCAGTGCTCACCCATGTACTGACCCTTCTGTGTCCAGTACAACCTGGTTATTGGTTCATCTTGAAGCTGGCTGTGTCCTTTAGGCCAGGCCTGGCAATTGGCAAAACAAGGGACTACCACTGAGCACAGGCTCGTGGTCCTTCCCTCTCTGGGCCTCATCCCCTGCCGGCGGGTGCAAGTTCAGGGTCCCCACATCCAGCAGACCCAGCTTGGAGCTTTCTCTAAGAGATCAGAGAAACCCAAAGTTAGTCAGAAGCGCCAAAACCTTCCTCTTCCAAAGTCCCTCTCTGCTGTCAGAAGGACACTCGTAATACAAACACCACCTCTTCCAAACCTCCAACGACAAAATTGCAGAAATGTGATCCAAACCCCAGTGACAACCAGCAGTCCCAGCCCACGCAGAGCTGGGCGAGCTGCCAGTGGGACGGTGAGGGCTGTCCCCAGCTCTCCTTGCTCCTACTCTGAGGGGGCCAGTGGAGACAAATGGGGGCACGGTGGTTGTTAGCAGATGACAAGATACAAATGATTGGAGAAACCAGC